CTGCTGATAAAACATTTTAACATTTAACACAACCAAATTTTACTTTTTATTTTTTTTATTTAACAAATATTCATTAATTGGTGTTCTTAATGTTATTAATATTAGTGTTATTAATGAAATGTTAGATGGCCATTACTAACTTTTGTTTTATTTGATCAGTTTAAAAACGATTTCTCCTCAGACTAAAACATTTATATGCTTACAGTTAATTTATTTTCAGTTTTTATGAGAATATTAAAATCATATGGAATTTTAACATATTAATGTTAAACAATTTCTTGATGGAATTTTAACTAATTAATGTTTGATTTATGGAAAAATTGAAATAAAAGTTGTCGAACATAGGCCTGCTTACAATTTTTTCTCAAAATTTAAAACTTCATTTAATGCATTTCAATTGAAATGTTTTCATAATTAACCAAAGTATTAATTAAAATTTAATTCATTCAAAATTCGAAATTATGTTTCAATAGTTTGTTTGAGATTTTCGTACAACATTTCAATAAAAAAAATAAGGTAGGAGAAATTACTTTGCAATCAAACCCGGTCATAGCGGGGTGGCATAGCAAATTTATCATCAGTTACATTAACTATGTCGCACTGTACATACTCATGTTCAAGTGACACTCCAATCCAGACTGAACTTTTAACTTTTATTGATGTAGAGCAGTAAGGATTTATTTTGCGGTCAAGCAACGCGTGTATGATGTAGAGTAACCAATGCTATGATTGCTGTCATGTTAACCACCACATAACACTGTAATTAATGATTTAGTTAATGTTATGATTGAATTAATGTTATGATTGCTGTCATGTTAATGCAACCTAGCCAACATTAAAATAAGAAGATGTTAGTTAAAATAGGGAAAATGGATATATTTCTCTTTCAAAACTTTGTGTAAAGTTTCCTTTCAGTCCAAAAATAACAACAAATCAAAGTGACTTCGGCTGATATTGTCATCAGACAGCTTAGCAATACTTTGTTATCAATATTCTTCTTCTTCTTCTTCTCCTTCTTCTTCTTCTTCTCCTTCTTCTTCTTCTTCTCCTTCTTCTTTTTCTTCTTCTCCTTCTTCTTCTTCTTCTCCTTCTTCTTCTTCTTCTTCTTCTTCTTCTTCTCCTTCTTCTTCTTCTTCTTCTTCTTCTTCTTCTTCTTATTATTATTATTATTATTATTATTTGTTGAATTTACGTATGAATAAATTTTACCGTCGCTAGAATTTCACGCTCCATTGAGAAGCTTACCATTGTAAAGAACCGAGATTACTCGATTACTATTATTATTATTGTTATTATTATTATTATTTTGTTATTATTACTGCTAGTGTGGTTGTTAATTCATTACTATTGCGATTATTTGAGTTATTGTTACCTGCCTCTCATATACCTTTGATGTGACTACACTCTATATCCTAACAGTCAGAAGTTTCAGTCCAGTGTATTTCATTTTCGTAACGCTTTCAAATTTGTTAGATAAAATTTAAATATTTCAGATTTGCTAAGCAAGAAAATCAGTTACAGGATGCTGAAATGTGAGTCTCAAATTTGTAACCGATCAATTTTGTTCCAGTCAGCTGGTCACCATGCAATTCTGTGTTAATTTTTTCAAAGAAACTATTATAAACTTTGTTTATCAGATATTCTAACTTAACTTCAACTTCCTAGTTTACGTTCGTTTTTTTGATTTAATCTTTTCTTGGTTTCTGGATCCCTACTAAACACTTTTCTGTCTTTTATCATGCAGTTCTGACAGTTGCATAACAGCTTACATTGAATTCTGTTGTCAAACATTCGTGCCAGAATGGCTTGTAATATCAGCACCAAACAACTTGCATACACACACCACACACACTGCACACCAGACGCACTGCACACCACACACACCACACATACACACCACAAACACACGGGGTATGATAGTTTTTGAATATTGGATAGTTAAATTAAGTTAAGTTAAATCTTTTTGACATAATAACAACATGTAAAAATAAATCTCATTAGGTTCAGAATGTTATAAATAATATTTTTTTTTAAATCCATTTTATTCACAAAAAAGGGAAAGAGTCAGCCTAGCAATAAATGCTTATCTAGGGTTGACTCCCATAAAACAATTAATAACTATTAATTATTAATTAATAACAATTAATTAACAATAAATAATTATTAGAATAAATTTGTCTCTTAAATACCTAAAATAATACAAAAAATACAACAAAACCTTCACAGACGTAATTCTCACGTGCACCTTGCTACTTCTTCCTCTCACTACACTCCCTTGCACTCCTCCCAACTGCCAGTACTTCCTGTCCTACATGAAGACAACCCTCGACAATGCCAGGGTAGATTGCCAAAGCAGGAACATGAAACTTCTGGAGATAAAAACCCCCGAATTGCAGGAGGATGTGGAGAAATTTCTATCAACCGTCAACCGAACCGGTCAATTCGGATTCCACAACTGTTTCTGCAACACTCAGATTTGGTTGAATGTTTACATAATAGGAAAAAATTATTGCTGGGTAAATGAAGAAAATCTCGAGAAAATAAACTACACCAAATGGGGCTATGGCTACCCCTCTGATACGTCATTATTAAGTATCCAAGCGGTATACATGGAGTGTGATCAGTCTCTTACGATGAAATTCAGTTGCAATTGGATGACAACATTCTATGATACTTTTTATTATAATTACATTTGCTACGGTGACAAAGATGGTCAGATTTTTTTTAAACTAATTTTCAAATAAACTTATTTTTATTAAGAATGAGAACATTGGTAGTACATGAACAACCCAACCCAACTTGTTTTTTATACAAGGCGTAGAAAATTTGTCAGCTCTGTACCCAAAACTTGATTCAATGAATCTTTATCTCGTTAAATTAATCATTGAAAACATCAATGAGGAAAAATGGTAAAAATATAATTGTTTAATTTCTTCAAGGCACAGCTGGGAATATCCAACCATCATCATCATCATCATCGTCAACATCAGAGACGGCAACCACAACGACAACGACGACAGCAACCACAACTACAACAACCACAACAACCACAACTACAACAATCACAACGACTTCATCATCATCGTTATCAAAACCGGTTTCATCTTCTTCAAATTTTTTCTGGCCCTTTCCGTTTTCCGTATTTCCACCACTACCAACAATATCATCATCACCACCATCATCATCATCATCTGTATCATCATCATCTGTATCATCATCATCATCACCTGTATCACCATCATCATCATCATCATCATTGACACTATCACAGCCATCATCATCATCGTCGTCATCATCATCACCAGTATCGCTATCATCATCATCATCTGGATCATTATCATCACTCGACATCGGACTGATCGTCGGTTTGATAATTGCAATAGTAATTGTCATCTTGTTGGCCGTCATCATTAGCATCATCTTGTGGAGGAAATTTAAGTTAGTACCAATTCAGTTCATATTTTTTATTTAAATCTTAAAATTTTTTAAAATATGTATTTGAAATTTTATTCATTCATTCTTTCATTCGTTTCTTCATTCATTCATTCATTTATTCGTTTGTTCGTTCGCTCGTTCGTTTGTTTGTTTGTTCATTCATTCACTCACTCACTCATTCATTCTCCTCTCGTTCTTTCGTTCA